TGGTTTAAATATAATATTAACAACTTTATTATCATTTCAAGGTGATGAAATTTATTTTAAATATGAAAGTGCACTTGTTGGTAGAACATTTTATGATGCTGTATTTTCATATAATAAATGTTCAGTGATTGGATTAATGTTATCCGATGGAACAGTTAAAATACTTCCTCCATCAAATACAATAATAAATATTGATGATAAAATTATTGTTATCGCTGAAGATGATGATAAAATTATATTATCATTCGATTATTTATTACGTATTAATAATCAATATTCAGGACCAACATCATCATCAGTAATTAATCATAATACAGTTTTATTAGCAAAATCTATGACTAGAGAAGCAACAAAAAGAATTGAACGAACTCTTATAGTCGGATGGAATAATAAAGCCCCATTAATTGCTAAAGAATTAGATACTTATGTTGCTCGTGGTAGTGAACTACATATATTGACAAATTCTGATGAAATAACACAATTTATAAATCAACAATTAGTTAATGAATTAGCAGAACAAAAACTATTTGTACATTCTGGAAGTTTGACAAATAAATTTGATTTAGAAAAATTAAATTTATTCTCTTATCATTATATTATATTATTAGCAAATGAAGAAAGTGAACAACAAAATTTAATTAAAGAAGCTGATGCTGAATGTTTAATTTGTTTATTATATTTACAAAATATTATTGATAGATCAAATAATGAAAAAACATTCAATATAATTACAGAAATGTATGATATACGTAATCGTCAATTAGTAAATACAACATCTGCCGATGATTTTATTGTTAGTCCAAATTTAATATCAAAATATATTTCGCAATTATCTGAAAATAAAAATATAAATAAAGTTTATGATGTTTTATTAACAGCTGGTGGTCCTGAGATTTATTTATGTTTAGCATCGATGTTCGTTCCACTAGAAACACCAATTAGTTATCATCAAATTTTACAAGCAACATTAAAATATAAATGTTTAGCAATTGGTTATAGATTAATGCAATATTCACATGATAAAACAAAATTTTTTGGAATTGTTTTAAATCCAGATAAACAAGAACAAATTATATTTTCAAAAAATGACAAAATTATTATTTTAGCTGAAAACTTTATGTCATCTGCTCCCATAGTAGTTCATACTAATTATAAATTTCAAAATACTAGATTCTAACAAAAAAACCAGTATTTTGACAGTCAAACAACATGATGTACATGATATCTAGGTTAAAAATACTTGTTATCGATCACTATAATAAATATAGAAAAGTAAATCCGAAATGCAGCTGAATTCCCTGTTGTGGGTGTGGTTGTGAGTATGAATGTGAGATATAGGTGTACCTCTTCTTAGCACTGACACCCACCCTCTCAAAGATACACGGGAAGTAGGAAAAACCAGAATTCTACGCACCCCTCACACTGAAGACTGTCCAGGATACAGGAAAATTAAGAATCCACAGAATTTTGAACATTCCAAACAGTGCATGTTATGTACGGTTCTCAGGGATGCAGGAGAAATTAGAGTTCAAAGAATTCTAAGCATTCGAAGGCTAACAAGTAATGTAGGCATTCCAAGCTCTTCCACCTGTTTGTGAATGTGAAGGATCATCAAAGCGCTAGGAAAATTCAAGTAATTCAAGTCTTCCTATTTCGAGGGAAGTCAGCCATATAGCCACTCTGTTTTGTACTTTTTGTCTTATGTATTCCCAAGCATCCCAAAGATTGTATATGAATGTACAGTGATAGATATGTAATTTCTTTTAATGAATTTTAAGATCGTACGATTAGTTGATTAAGCTAATATGGTAATTAACAATAGATTAATCAGTCTTATAGTTCGTTACAGTCTTATGCATTTGAATCGATATTAAATTTTTGTACTCGATGATTTCCGAAGTCGGCGACATAGAAATTACCGTGTCGATCGAATGACAAACCGAAGGGCATATTGAGTTGGTTTGATTGTTCTCCTTGACCGTTTCCACCAACAATGACAGTTCCCTGTGTGGCTCCTTTGGGCCAACGCATAATTCGATTATTCCCAAGTTCACTTACATAGACAGTACCCAATTGATCGACAACGACTCCTTGAGGATGTGACAATTGTGTAAGATCATTTCCTTCTCCTTGACCACCAGCTACGACAATGCCTTGTTTTTCACCTTCCATCCATTTCATCACACGATGATTTCCACAATCAGACACATACACTGAATGATCTTGATTGACGAATACGTAACATGGCCAATTGAGTTGATGGAGACGATTTCCACGTCCGTTGCCGCCTGCAACCACTATTCCTTGAGATTCTCCTCTTCGATATCGTCTCACGTCATGTCTTCCCTCGTCAACGACATAAAGAGATCCATTTTCATCCATTGTCAAACCAATACAATTGATGTTGGAGATGCTTATTTCTCCAATTGTCCCATTTCGACGAGGCCATCGTACTACTCTTCTATTAGCACGATCGCAGATTATGAGATTATCTGTCTCTTTGTCCACAGCCACACTTAGTGGGTGAGACAATTGATGAGCGCCACTTCCTTGTCCATTTCCGCCGGCAACCACTTGGCCACTCGTCGCATTCAATTTCCATTCCACAATACGGTGATTCAATCGATCAACGACATAGACTGTTTGATCATCATCAACAAACAAATCCAATGGGTATGAGAGTTGATTGGTTTCATTACCTTTTCCATTTCCACCAGCCACAGTGTGACCCTCTTGTTGCCATCGAGCATTTGGATGAATGGCAGTTGAACTGGCACGCAAGGGAGGAACTGAAATAGAGAGAAAGGAATGGATAAAGTAAGAAAACAAGGAAAAAGGGATAGTGCATATAGAGAACTCACACAGAAGGTCTATTTGAGTTTTTCAAAATTTGCCGATTGTTCTTGAAAAAATTGAAGGACAATAGTTTTCTTTCGTGTTTTTGAAAACCCAAATACTCTGCACCGTGCTGTTTTTGTTGAGCTTGCTTACTTTCTCGTATACTTCATCTGGTAGACTTTTAAGCAAGGTACATTTCAATGTCGTTTGTATTCGAAAAGTGGCATTTTTTTTGTTTACTAGTTTGTTTTTGAAGTATGGTTTATGAAAAGTGCAAAGGCGAAACAACTTAAATAAGATTTTCTTTGAAGTCTTTTTTTTTATTTAAAGTTGGTGAAAAATGGATAAAAATTAGTAGTTTCTTCCTTCGGAAAGGTGAATGGAGAGCATATTTAGAAAGCAAAACTTCTTTCGATTTACGCATAGCTTTTGCAGTTATAACATATAGAAGTGTTCAGAAGCATAATTTAGAGACTGAAAGAATATTTTTTTAAATTTAGATGTGGTCCGACAGCTTATCTAATTGAAAGTATGTATGAATTTATCAAATTAAATTGTGTATTTCTTCAAAAAAAAAAACAATCAATTAAAAGGATGGTTCAAATCCTGCTCATCTACAATCTCTATGTAGTTATGTAGACAGAATTTGAGGGTATAGATCATTGAAAAAACTCAATTTTCACTTAAAATATGTATGAAAAGTATGGGCTTTCTTATTCAAATTAGTCAAAGTGATGAAAGTTTTTCAGATGATCATGATTTATTTTCAGCATAAAATAGCCAGTGATAACCTCAAAATAGACACGAATGTAACGGAGATATGCTAGTATTACTTCTTTCTTCCTTCTTTGATGAAAAAAAATATTCAAGATTAATATTATGTGGAGCTTGATCGAAAAAATGATATACGATAGACTAGAAATACATATTTATAGATTCAGTCTTTCATAAATATTTTTTCATTTTCAAAATAAAAAGAGAAGAAAAAAAAGAAAAAAATTGTCCCGTTAGTTGCCTACAAGTGTGGCCAATCGTTACAAAATTTCCATTTTTAACCTTGCATAATCTAATTATCTCTCTGTAGTCAGAGAAGAAAATCCTGTAAAATTTCTACCAACAGTAGGGACTCTCTGGATTTACAATTCCCCATTCATTTTGGTCATTTTCGTTCAAGCACAGCAGAGTTATATAGACAAAATAACTTACTAGTCCGGTATGGTATTCCAAAAAATAGAATTCTTTTAGCAGGCATTTAGAATTAAGTATCTTGCTATGAAAGGAGATTTCAGTATATCGATCTACTTTTAGATAAAAACGATAGAATGATATAAATATCTAAAAACAATATGAAATTTGAGATTTTCAGCAATC